ATCTGCGGTGAGTTCACTGCAGATACTAGGGAAAGACTTGTAAATCACATTGGCAGGTGTCATGGAAATGACCCCAATTTTCATATAGTGTGTGGTCTCGATGGTTGCACGACATCATTTAAAAAGTATTTTTCGTGGAGAAAACATCTTACACGAAATCATGCCGAACAATCCAGTCAACCCGAGCCCAAAGGCAATGAAGATGCTTTGAATCAAGACCAAAATCGACACATAAACCGAGATGAACTTAATACCGAAGACAATGCAAGATCGACTGCATTATATATATTAAAGATACAAGAACAGTGCTCCCTGACACATTCAGCGGTTGAAAAAATAATTGCGAATACCACGGGTATTGTACGGCAGGCGATATCCACAGTGGAAATGCAAGTTGAAAGTTGCCTCAGGGAATCTAATATTGATCAACAAACTATCGCGAAGCTCAAAGAAATTTTTGGAGAAGACAATGTTGCAACCAATCCATTTCACAACTTAGAAACCACAACGCAACAGCTTGCCTACTTTAAGACTGAGTTTCAATTGAAGGTAAGATACTAGATAAGTATAATATTAATAATATTATTAATGAGGGATGTATTAAACCTGTTCTTTTGGTTTTTGTAACAAGTCAGGGTGGCTTGATACTGGCATTGTTAAAGTTTGTAAATAGTAAATTCTGTTGACTGCGCTTGTTTACTGGTCCACTTTGTACTATTTTGCTGAGCCTGTTATTAGGGACAGACCATTAGAAAAGTGATGGGGGGGGGCAAAACAAAACAAAAAATTATTCCCAGAAAAAAATTAAGAAAAAATAAAATCTTTCCAGGCAGTGCAAAAAAAAAATTCCTTGCTTAGAAGATGGGCCAAGTGGTGTACTGGAGGGAGGGCTCAGGGGGGCTGAGCCCCCTTGTTGTAATTTCATGTAGACTTGGGGGCTGCACGTTGGTCAAATTTAGCAAAATTTCTCCCACTTGTGTGGGTTCGTATTGACAGCGGACATCTTACAGAAAGTGGCTAGTTCTCTGAAAAATGTTCAGTAAACGAGAATGTTCTTTAGAATTGCATCTCATTTTCACGCATCATTTAACACAATAATGATTTTTGTAATCTTTATATCGCCATTTTTGTAATCTTTATATCATTTAGTACCACTAAATTGTAAATTTCGACATACTAAAATAAAACGCTGTTTTCTGACCATCAGAATTCTGTCAAATCTTCCCCAAAGTCCAGGAAATGGCATTTCAGAGACTCAAAATTTAAAAATTTCCTTCGTCTTGTTTTTAATAAGAATAACGTCAAATGTTTGTCCCAGAATTACTAGAATAAACCCCAACCAAATTTAGAATTTCCAAAATATCTTATTGTACCTCCCCTCCCCTCCCGCCAATTCAGGGCACTTTGGAGAGTTCCCCTTGTTAACATTCCAGGACCACACCACTAATAGGCCTATAAATTTCACTTAAAGGGGCCCTACAGTCATTTTTTAGTCGAAAGCCACCTTAAGTAGGGAACTCCACGGAGATTCGTTTGGCTGTGTCTTACATGCAGTATCCATGAGTATGAGTACTTTTGCACACCAGAAAACGCATGCATACTGTGGTGCGCATGTCAAGTAGCGACAATAACAAAAAAATGTAAACAATACTTACTTGACTAAAAATTACTGTAGGGCCCCTTTAAAAAAAAATATTTCCAACCATCAAGTGAGAAAAAAAAATATTTCTTCTATAGGTGTACAAAAAAAATATTGCCTCTTAGAAAATCCCCCCCCCCCCCATCACTTTTCTAATGGTCCGTCCCTTACAAAGTGCAAACCTCATCAAGATTTGAACCGTTTTAAAGTTGATGGGGAGTTGATGAGAGTTGGCAGTCAAACACTAGCAAGAGTTGCAACTCTCGATCACCAACTCTCATCCTCGTCTGACCAAACTTTATGTGTTTGGGGGAGGGATGATAAATACAACCTCTGTTTCTCAAGGACGTCCTATTAATTGGACACTTTAATATTGATTTTCAATAATTGCTACATGCAGCTTCATGAATGCACCCAGTTATTTATAAGTAGGCTGTATATCTACAGATACTTGTACTGCAAAACTGGTTAGGGGTGGGTAATTTTAAGGGTTATATAAGCATTATGTTGCAACTATACTGCATATTAATGTGCTTACAGGAACCAAAGAGAATCATTCTTGGGCAAACAGAGGTGTTCCGAAGAAAAAATGGTATTATACGTCAAGTACAATCAAATGATGAAGCACATTACATACCATTGCTTGAAAGCCTCAAAAATCTATTGAGTGATGAATTCATTCTTAATGAGGTAGTTGAAAACAACTAAAAGACATTGGGTCGTTCCAGAAAAGATCCATACTTCCCCCACGGAGGAAATTTCTGCCGTCTGGAGGGAGAGGGGAGAAAAAATTGTTTCTGAGAATATTAAATGTATTAATTAGGACATCCGAAGGGGGTAGGGGGGTTAACTTCCTATATCCTCCGTGGGGGTGGTATGGATGTTTTCTGGAATGACCCGTTGCGCTAAAGTATACTGTAATAAAGTACTCATTTGGTATTTTTGTGTTGCTTTCATAAAAGTAACTGCAAAATGCTAATTTGTAGTGAACTCATATACTTAAACTTAGTTGGTAACCTTTATGACCTGATGTACTTTGTATATTATATGTATATTATTATTGTATATAGCAAGACGTAGAAAATTCGATCATATTACCCTTGTTATGAAAGAGCTGCACTGGCTTCCCGTTAGCCATATCATCACAATCAGGGACCAAGAAGATGAAAAGCATTTTGTTTGCCCGAAGTACCAGATTCCAAGTGTCTAAGTTGCAGATGGCCATATGGATGTCTTCAGATTTAGTTTTTTCACGTTTAACCACTCTAGAAAATATGCAGATATCAACCTATATGGCATACATATTGTCATTAATTGATAAGCAGTGGCAGACACTTTTAGGGGAGGGGATTAATAAGATCGAGGACATACAGGTATGACCTTTTTTGTGGTAAGCCATTGGTGGTAACTGGTAATCTTATTTCTTTAAGCTTTTGCAGTTGACTTCATGCAATATGTAGCTTACTTTTCATCCCCCAATGCACTCATTGTTGAAAAGTAATAATACAGCATTGTTTAATAGTTTTCAGCTATCATTCAGATTTTCAAGGGGGGATTGCCCTCCTCCCACCCCGTAGAGTCTGCCACTGTTGAGGAGGGTGTTGTGTTGGCAGCAACATCACCATCTGAAGTATAGTTAAGGATTTGTGGAGGATTAGTAGCACAAACACTGTATAATGGTCCAAACAAGCCGGGAAAATATATTTCCCTGCAAGATGTATAGAAATTTCTTGCAATGATTTTTGGTTAAAATTTCCTGGCAGCATTCCCACCTTCATTGTCACATGCCGGACAGGACTGGTACCAGGCTTTTAGCCAGAAGGGCGTCCTGGACGCCTCTAGAACAAAACATGGATGCCCAAATTCTGGGGGAAAAGGGAACTTATTTTCAATTATTTCCCTAAGTATATTAATTTAATATATCTGAAACAAAATAGCTTCAATTCTAATTATTATTAGACATTTTGATCAAGTTGATGGTGTACCTGGCTGAATGAAAATGTCGTAGTTAAGTAAAGAAGGTTAAGAAGCATGGTGGCACAAACTCAGTACTCACAAAGCCAAGTGGAAAATTTCGAACGGGCTTGGAACAGATACTGATATGAAGTAACGTAAACTTGAAAGGTTTTCCAGAAGAATGTTTTCTCGACCCCCCCCCCTACTGTAAATGTATTGTTGTGCCAAAATTGGACGCCCTCTTTTAGGACCCTGGCTAAAAGCCTGACTGGTACCAAACTTCCTGAAGTATAGTGCCTCAGTTGGCACATAGTCACTAGTGAATGTCAGTGGTAACTCTCAACTAAATCTCTTTGTATATATCTAACATTTTATTAAAAGTGATTAATTTTTGTAATTACACATGTTTAGTCAATTGTTGATATCATACCTATAAGAGACTCTGGCTTTAATAGGCTATTAGTCATAAATGGTAATTTTTTGTGATATATTTATTATTCAATAACCATAAATATGCAAGGCAATAAATTGCATAACAGAAGGCAATAAATTGCATAACAGACCACTTTCCCTGCTAAATGAGGTATGGAGTTTTTGTAAATTGTAAAATGTGGTTACTGTCGTTCCGAAGTGTTGCTCAAATATTGATTCAATACATTACCTTGGGCTGACCAATTCATCCGATCAAGTTCCTCGAGATATTCATACACTTCCTAGTATAATTGTAAACTTCCTGTTGAATAGTTTGAATGCACCAATCACCTTTGTTGTTTGTGCAACTGACCAATCATAAATAGAAAGGAAGTGACCAGAAATGATCAAATACTTGGAATTGGCTCTTTCACAGGAAGTGTATGAATATCTCGAGGAACTTGATCAAATGAATTGGTCAGCCCGAGGTAATGTATTGACAGTGTGACCAGGTTTAGTACATTTTATTACCAGATCCGGTTGGATGCCCTTAGACAACCCCACCTGCTTTAAACAACTGCAACATTAAGAACAGGAGGGGGCAGCCAACCAATTTTAAGCAGCTTTAGTAAAAAAAATTGCATATATGGTCACACTGTGTATTGAATCAATATTTGAGCAACACTTCAATTGGAACGACAGTAAATGTGAATTAAATTGAAAATAAATTGCTAGATGAAATCACATATATTTCCACTATGACTTATAATCACTTCAATTTGCAAACCCCGTTGCATAGACAGAGGAAAATGTGATTTTATAGCTAGTACTTAGTAGTAACGTCTAATCACATCATGACATCCATTTTCTCTTTTTTTGTCAAATTTTTAAAAAAATGGTGCAGTTCAAGAACATAAAGCCTCCTCTTTCTACCCGTCAAATATAAATCATTTTCTTTCTCAGCGGTTTAGCACCTTAGCATTCCATTATCATCTAGCGCACCACATTGTTATTATCATTACAAAAGCTCTCTTGTGTTGTATTGACTTCTCATCTGTAAACTCAGTTTATTCCTTATTATTGGCGTGGTGGCAGCGGTTCACAACGTATTCACGTCACAAAGACTGGGACATTTACCCCTCGTAAAGTGAGAAGGCCAAATTTCCGCAGGTGAGCAACCATAAACCGTTTATATCTCGTATTTTATCTTTCGTCAAAATGGCGGCTCGAGCGCCTAAACAGTGGCAATTATCCAAGAACGAAACCATAACTTCTTACGAAAGCTGGAGACAGAACTTAATATATATCCTATCCCTCGACAGCAATTTTGTACCCTTTCTTGAAGCCACATGGCAAAAGAAGACCTCTACTAATCCCCACCGAGGCTTGGTCGATGATGCAGACCCCATTCCTGAACCTAGACGGTTAACCGCCGTTCAAAAGAACGCTCATTTAGATTTATTGCTTGGTCAAATTGCCAATTTTTGCCCTGTCGTTTCACGCAGTTCCATCGTTAAGAATTCAGTCTCTCTTAATGATATTTGGCAGAAAATCCGCCAGCACTATGGTTTCCAGTCCACCGGGGCTCACTTCCTCGACCTAGCCACTATTATCCGGCAACCCGACGAGCGACCAGAAGACTTATACCAACGCCTCATGGCATTCTTTGAAGATAACTTACTAACTGCTGGTGGGGGCATCACCCATCATGGAGAGGCGTTGGAAGCTGACGAAGATTTAACCCCCACCCTGGAAAACACCATCGTCGTTCTGTGGCTTCAACTAATACACCCAGGACTACCCTTGTTGGTGAAGCAAAAATATGGATCTGAGCTGCGGAACAAATCCCTGGCCTCGTTAAAACCAGAAATATCCCAGGCACTCTCTTCCCTCCTTGATGAGCTACGATTAATCGATGAGACTCGGACAATGCGCATTGGCAGTACAAACCCACGACGAAACCCTACCAGTGCCTCAGACAACCCACAACGTAAAGCATTCCGGTCATGTATTCTATGCAAGACCGCTGGTCGCCCGCATACAACCCATGACCTCATGGATTGTCGCTATTTACCAGAGCGAGACAGGCGACCATGGGCTCGTTCACAACTTTTGAAGGACGACTATGATGATCTGCACCCTGAAGACTGCGATACCTTTGACCTTAGTCACGAGGGTGTTGCTAACGCTGTGCTGGTCGATGACTCTACTGCCCATCGTGTGAGTATCGTTCAGTCCCTGTCCTCCGCACCTTTTACAATGAGCACCCCATCCAGTTGACCTTAGACACTGGTGCAACATCCAACATGGTTCGAGCCTCATCGGCCACAGCTTACGGATTTCCTGTATCCCCTGCTTCTCAGATGGCTCGCCAGGCTGATGGTGTTACCCCGATGGATGTGGTTGGTGAAGTCCATTGCTCACTCATCCGAGGTTCGTCCACATTTGAACTCGATGCCCTAGTTGTTCGCCAACTTGATGTTGACATTTTGGCTGGCAATCCTTTCTTGTCCAAAAATGACATTGCTATTCGTCCTGCAAAGCGCGAAATTTTAATTGGTGGTACAGATGTTGTGCATTACGGCCAACCAGCGAAGTCGATCCCCCATTCCGCTGCTAGACGCACGCAGTCCTTCCTTCTCCGCAGTCCACAGCACATGGTTGTCTTACCCGGTGACTATCTCCAGCTCACTACACCTCTGGAGTCTGATCCCGATGCTTTGTGGGCCTTGGAACCTAGACTCGATAGCCCCTCTAACCTTTTTCAGAAGCTGGAAGCCGCATGGCCTCAACCACAGGCCATTGTTTCAGTAGATCATACCTTGCGTATACCTAACACAACCCCTTCTCCAATTCTCATAAAGAAGGGTGAACAGTTATGCCAAGTTCGGCATATCATACCTCCCTTCCCCACCGACCCATGTGCCTCGCCTTCCAGCACCTGTCGTCCTGTGATTTGCCCTCCTGTCCACAGCAAGCCGTTCTCTAGCACAGTAGTTCTTGATCCAGATTCCTCTCTTCCACCCCACATCCGTGACCAGTTCAGGGATCTTCATCTCGAGTATGACGATGTGTTCAACCCCACCATCTCCAAGTACAATGGTGCTAGTGGCAAGATTGAAGCCGTTGTCAATATGGGCCCAACCCTTCCTCCTCAACGGAAAGGTCGCCTACCACAGTACAACCGAAGTACTATGGAGGCGTTACAAGCTAAGTTCGACGAGCTTGAAGCCTCTGGAGTCTTTGCCAAACCTGAACAGGTTAACGTTCATGTTGAATACCTGAACACTTCTTTCCTTGTCAAGAAGCCAAATGGTGGAAGTCGTCTCGTAACATCCTTCGGTGCGGTTGCCCAGTACAGTAAACCACAGCCCGCACTCATGCCGAATGTTGACAGTGTTTTACGCGCCATAGGACAATGGCAATACGTCATTATCACTGACTTGTTAAAGTCTTTTTATCAAATCCCCTTGGCTGCTTCGTCCATGAAGTATTGTGGAGTCGCCACTCCATATAAAGGTATCCGTGTCTACACCCGATCTGCCATGGGTATGCCTGGCTCCAAGACATGTTTGGAGGAGTTAATGTCCAGGGTCTTAGGTGACCTCATTCAGGAGGGCTGTGTTGCTAAAATCGCCGACGACCTGTATATTGGTGGAAATACCCCTAGTGAGGTACTCCACCACTGGCGCCGCGTGCTCTCCCTACTGAAGAAGAACAACCTTCGCTTATCAGCCTCCAAAACCATCATCTGCCCACAGAAAGCTGTTGTGTTAGGCTGGACCTGGTCCAAAGGCACCTTGCAGGCTAGCCCACACAAGCTTGCAGCCTTATCCTCTGTTGCTCCGCCCTCTACAGTACAAGGCTTACGATCCTTTATTGGCTCATACAAGGTACTCAGCCGAGTACTCCCAAAGTATGCCGAGCTGCTTGACCCTCTCGATCAGGCTACCGCCGGCAAGGAGTCTCGGGAGCGAATCCGTTGGTCTGACGAATTACTGCTAGCATTCAAGACTGCACAACAAGCCCTAGACAATCACAAAACTATCTCACTTCCTCAGTCTGATGATGCGCTCTGGATTGTTACAGACGGTTCCGTAAAGAACAGGGGCATAGCAGCCACCCTCTATATTCAACGCGACGGAAAGCTCCTATTAGCTGGTTTCTTCAACGCCAAGTTGCGTAAACATCAGGTGACTTGGCTTCCTTGTGAGATAGAAGCTTTGGGCATCAGTGCTGCCATAAAGCACTTTGCCCCTTACATCATTCAATCTGTCCACACTACCCAGGTTCTCACGGACAGTCGACCTTGTGTTCAAGCATACGACAAGCTCAAGCGTGGCGAGTTCTCAGCCAGTTCACGAGTCACTACCTTCCTGTCAACTGTTAGTCGTTATCAAGTCCATGTGCGCCACATCGCTGGAGCAGAGAATCTTCCATCCGATTTCGCTAGCAGAAACCCTCGACAATGTTTAGACTCTAGTTGTCAGATTTGCAAATTCATCACAGAAATGGAGGATTCTGTCGTTCGTGAAATCTCTGTCAGTGACGTCATTGAAGGTTCCATTCGAATGCCATTCACTAGTAGAGCAGCCTGGCAAGCTACCCAGCAGGAGTGCCCTGATCTCCGGCGAACTCACTCCCACCTTCATCAAGGCACCCGCCCCTCCAAGAAAATCACCAAGATCATTGATGTCAAGCGTTACCTCAAGGATGTCATCATTGCGTCCGACGGCCTCCTTATCGTGAAGGACACTCAACCATTCCAGCCCAGCCGCGAGCGCATAGTCGTGCCTCGCTCCGCACTTGATGGCCTGCTGACGGCACTTCATATCAGATTAACCCATCCGTCTAAATACCAACTCAAACGTCTGTTCAACCGGTACTTCTTTGCCCTGGATGTTGATAAGGCAATTGAGGCGGTCTCGTCATCTTGTCATCTCTGCCAGTCAGTGAAGACAATTCCTAAGCATCTACAGCCGCAGTCTACTTCAGACGCCCCTTCAGCCATTGGTATCTCGTTCGCCGCAGACGTGATACGCCGTAACTGCCAGTACATACTTGTTATGCGAGAGACTGTGTCCTCATACACTATCGCTTCTCTCATTGAGAGCGAAAAGCATGAGATTCTACGTGATGCCCTCTTGATCCTATGCTCCGAGCTCCGATCTCTGCATGCTGGTGGTGTGACAGTACGCGTGGATCCCGCCCCAGGATTCTCTGCCCTCGCAAACGACAAGATCCTTATCTCCTCTGGCATTCATTTGGAGGTGGGCAGACCTAAGAACCCTAATAAGAATCCCGTCGCCGAACACGCAATTGGCGAGCTTGGTGCAGAGCTCCTTAACCTAAATCCTGAAGGAGGCCCAGTCTCAAAGGTCGTGTTAGCTCTCGCTGTTGCCAACTTGAATTCCCGAATCCGACGCGATGGCCTTTCTGCCCGTGAAGTCTGGACCCAAAGAGATCAGTTAACTGGTGAGCAGCTACCCATCATCGACCGCGACCTTATTCTCAATCAAAACGTATCTCGTAAGCAGAACCACCTACCCAGTGCTAAATCGAAAGCTACTGGTAGACTAGGTTTTCCCACTCCTACTATCTCTGTTGGAGACCTGGTTTACTTGACACGTGACAAGGACAAGCTAAAAGCTCGCGAAAAGTACCTCGTTATTGACATCGATCCAAGCAAGATGTGCCACCTACGGAAGTTCACAAGCTCACAGTTTCGAAGCAAAGTCTACCTCGTACCTATGGCTGAATGTTATCCGTTGAAGCCCTCAGTTGTAGCTCAACCCTCTCAAGGACCTGTCCGTGGGCAGGATGAGCGACTAGAGTCCGATTCCGACAACGAGTATAATACCAGTACAGAGGCCGAAGAACATACTAGAAGTGTTACTCCACCAATCATCGTACCACCTCCCCCTCCAGTACCCGATGCTATTAGCGGCATATCTGCTCCACCCACCCCCACAACCACTGAAGCTGTTGTGGCCTGCAAGCATCCGTCTTCAGTCGTGCCTCCCCGAAAATCAGTCCGTGAGCGAAGACCTCCTTATTGGTGCACCCAGGATTGGGATTTGAATCGTTATTGACTTGTAAACGTTAAGTACCTTTAACATCGTTAACATTTTATATTTCTATATTTAGTCACTGTATGTCAGCATTATTGATATTACGTCCAGGAGGGGCGAACAATCGGACAGACACTGCACCTATACAGTATGTTACCCTCTGCCTAGTTATAGAGAACTCTAGTTTTTAAAACTATATATGTAGTTTATATTCGAGCTGTGTCACATTGTACCTCGCTCAGCTCCTACATCGGAGCCAGTGGACAAGAGGAAGGGCAACCACGCCATTCTCTTTCTCAGCGGTTTAGCACCTTAGCATTCCATTATCATCTAGCGCACCACATTGTTATTATCATTACAAAAGCTCTCTTGTGTTGTATTGACTTCTCATCTGTAAACTCAGTTTATTCCTTATTATTGGCGCTAAGAAATTAAAATATCTTTGTAAAGCGGACGATTTTCTGCTCTTGGGAATTTAAAGCAGCTTCTTTTATGCAGCTTCTTTTAAAAAACAGTTTCTTTGCGCATAAAATTTACTTATGTCAAGCTTTTATGCACTTGTGGGTTCAGCAGAGTGCTGAGGCATTCAAATTCTAACAATACATTATTTCAATAGTTTGGGAGTTTTGGGGACACCCTGTATTTTGTGACTTTGCAGTTTGCCAGGATTCCAGACCATCATATCTCAATAGACTATGATCGAAATAGGTCAGTTTTCCGGTCATTTTCAGCTGTTTCGATTTGGAAATCGACATACCGAAACCCTGGATGAACAGTAAGGTCAGAAAGGCTATTAGGAAGCGAAACAGACTGTTAAAAAATCATTCTAGATTAAAAACGTCAGTAACTTGGGAAAAATATAGAGTACAAAGAAATTATATCACAACATTAATAAGATCAAATAAAGCGCTTTACTATGCAAATTTAAATAATAAGCTTCAGGAACCCGAGGTAAGCTCAAAAAAATGGTGGGGGATTGTTAAATCTTTATATGGGCAAAAAATGCGCGAAACGGTCCCAACACTCATGGAAGGTCCAAACATAATTAGCGAAGCTAAAGAGAAAGCTGAAGGATTGAATGATTATTTTTGCAATCAGAGTACCATTGACGATGGTGCTGCGACTATTCCTAATGATATTATATCTTTCCAGTCTTCTGTCATTTTGTCAAACGTGATTGCTACCGAATATGAAATAAATTGCCTCTTACGTGGAGTAAATATTAGTAAAGCATGTGGTCCAGACGGTATAAGCAATAGAATTATCAAGATTTGCGCAGACGGTATAACCAGCGCCTTTACGTATATAGTTAACCTTTCACTGTCGTCAGGTGTTCTTCCTGAGCAGTAGAAAGCAGCAAATGTTATTCCATTATTTAAAACTAAAGTAGATCGCGAGTCAAAGTTGAATTATAGGCCGATTTCATTGTTAGATTCATTATCTAAAATAATTGAAAGAGTCGTTTTTACAAGACTTTACAATTTTTTGTTGGATATAAAATTCTTAAACCCATTGCAATCAGGCTATCGGCCAGGTGATTCGACAGTAAATCAACTAGTATATTTAGTACGTAAGATCCACGAGGCATTTGAGCAAGGCAAAGAAGTAAGAATGGTTTTCATTGACATCAGTAAAGCGTTTGACAGAGTTTGGCACAAGGGTCTTTTACACAAGCTTCAATTAATTGGTGTTGGGGACCCTTTATTAAGTTGGTTTGAAAGTTATTTATCTAATCGGAAACAACGAGTGGTCATAGATGGTCAGTATTCACAGTGGAAAAATATAAACACAGGTGTGCCTCAGGGGTCCGTACTTGGTCCGTTGCTTTTTTTGATTTATATAAACGATATCACTGAAAACCTTGAATCCCATTCTTTATTATATGCTGACGACACTTCTTTGTATGATGTTTTTGACAATCCAGATACGTCTTCAACAAAATTAAATAACGATCTTATAGAAATAGAAAAATGGGCAAAACGATGGCTTGCTACTATAAATATAAAGAAGACAAAATGCATGACTTTTTCAGTTAAAAGACTCAAACCACCCCATCCCGATCTTTATTTTGCAAACGAGAAAATTTGTGAAGTTTTGCAACATACTCATCTTGGTGTCAAACTCACAGCAAACCTCTCTTGGAAAGCCCATATTGTAAATATTTTTGAAAATGCTAATAAAAAGTTAAATATGTTAAAAGGCCTGAAATTTAAAGTGAGTAGAGACACTCTAGGCAAGTTATATAAATCACTTATTCGTCCTGTTATGGAGTATGCGGACGTATTGTGGGACAACGGTATAGCCAGTGATTGTGATCTACTTGAGCATGTACAATATGAGGCAGCTAAGATTGTAACCGGGGCAATAAAAGGAACTAGTAAGCATCGTCTCATGCAAGAAGTGGGATGGGAAAGTATGTCTACTAGAAGAAAAATCCATAAGCTTATCTTATATTATATTATAAGATTGTAAATAACCTGAGTCCATCTTATCTCAAAGAATTACTTCCTTTACAAGTCTCCGAAAGAACAAACTATTCTCTAAGAACGGTTTCAGATTTTTCTCTTTTTAATAGTCACACTGAACGTTACAAAGCATCCTTTTTTCCATCTGCTGCAAGACTGTGGAATAGTATAAACATCGAGACGCGTTCGCTAGTTTCACTCGATTTCTTTAAAAATGCTTTAGTTAGCATTTTTGACTTACCTGTTCCAAATGGCATTTATAATTTATCAAATGATAGATTTTCCTCTGTTTATCACACTCGCCTGCGCTTAGGTGCTTGTGCACTAAATTTCTACCTCTTTAAAATAAGATGTAAAGTATCCCCAGTTTGTATGTGTGGTTTTAATACTGAAACTATAAAACATTATTTTCTTTATTGTCCAATTTTTGCTGCCCAAAGACAGAAACTGCTCTCCTCTGCTGCTCAGCTGTTTGCTGACGATTGGTCAAGAATAAACGACGCGCAAATTGTTGAAATGTTTTTGCATGGATCATCTTTATTATCATTAGAATCAAACAGAGAGTTATTTTCTCTTGTGCAGTCGTACATAAATGAAACAAAACGTTTTCATCCGCACGATTCTTGACTTCCGTCATCCCTCTCTTTTATTATATACTTGGCATGTACGAAATACTGTATGCAATTGTAAGGAGTGAGCCCCCTAGATGAGCGCATGCGCTCTTGGGGCAAACTTCGTTTGTTTGAACAATTAAAATATGTTTACTGTCGTTCCAATTGAAGTGTTGCTCAAATATTGATTCAATACATTACCTCGGGCTGACCAATTCATTTCATCAAGTTCCTCGAGATATTCATACACTTCCTAGTATAATTGTAAACTTCCTGTTGAATAGTTTGAATGCAACAATCACCTTTGTTGTTTGTGCAACTAACCAATCATAAATAGAAAGGAAGTGACCAGAAATGATCAAATACTTGGAATTGGCTCTTTCACAGGAAGTGTATGAATATCTCGAGGAACTTGATCAAATGAATTGGTCAGCCCGAGGTAATGTATTGAATCAATATTTGAGCAACACTTCAATTGGAACGACAGTAAATCAATACCCACCGTGTCACCGACCATATTTTCGTTTTGTATAATTGCATAATACGATATATTAATTTGAAGCTTGCAATTTATGCAAATGCCGAGGAGCTTTGCCCTGTCGGAAACCTGGGGCGATTACCCGCCATGTTGCAATTTTCCCGCCTTTTTTTTCAGCCATATTGATTATTTTGTTCGTCGTTCTTGCTTCAAAGTGAGCTGCAGTTTTTTATTGTATTTCGTTTCTCAATCTTCTTGAAACAACAACAATGAACTGGGGTGGAGGTGGTATGTATTGAGTGTCTTCTGGAGGCATTTTATAAACTATATTGTATAATAATACCTTCGTATGAGTAGAATATGAGTATATGATAATATTACCTCTGAATTTGATTCAGATCTTGATTTAAATAGTAGATTACAATATTAAGACATTGATGACCATTTCTGCCGACAGATTAAACAGATCCCCAAGCAGACCTTTCAAGTTGATCACATTCTGTAATGAGATAGACGGGGGCATGATCCCCAGAAAATTTTGAAATCTATGCTGCCTCTGGGCAAATTGTAACAAGACAAAATATATTAAACTGCACATAATTTTCAGCTGCACCATCTAGCTATGTTGTTTTCTAGCGTGATCAATTTTTGTCTTGATATATGGCTATAAAGGTCCATTCCATTTAATCCCC